CTACAAAATCTTCATTGCTTTCACTGTAATTTATTTTTTTTTTTTATTTACGGAGCATTATAAATAGTTATATTTTTTTAAAGAAAGAAAAAAACTACTATTGTTATAAATAACACATTCAATTGAACTAAACTATGCAAGCCTATTTAAATATATTTACACATGGTTTGTGTATATCGTATATATATATATACATATATATATTATTCATACCTTCGGTGTATAGGACGCAAGCAGATTTTGACATCAAATTTTGGGGTAAAAAAAAGTGCGTCTTATACATCAAAAAATACGATAAATATGTTTCCACACATCCTTAGGCTGATGACTTCAACACTAAGAGATATTGCATAATTCTTTGGTCGCTTACGCTTAGAAGTTCACTTCAGCAATAATAACTTAATTTAAAATAACCTAAAGAAAAATCAAAATCCATCCGACTATAACTATACTGATATGCGTCCATCTTCAAACTTAAATCTATTTCAAATACACAATAATATCTGGGCATTGAAGTTAATGAAAATTTTCGAGTTCAGAGTATTTTATCGAAAGATGTCGCGTTTAAACATTACCTTACCATAGATGACGGGAAAGAAAAAAATTCGAAGAATTTTGAAGACAGACATGACATTGTAATCAAACCCGCAGACAGAGGTGGTAATATAATCGTATAGCATAATAAATAAATTTAATATTTCGAAAATTATTTGATCTCGAAGTCTAAGTTCAAGGAAGGCCCAGTTCAATCCACACTTTGATCAAAGCGTGTTATCGGGTTCTACTAGTTTCGGAGAATTCCACTCCTCATCAGTAACCCTGAACACAAGTTAACCAAAGAGAGATAAGCTGGACCTATATCGTAGTGAAAAGTATCAAACATACTGTTGGTGTGAATGTGCCGAAACTAGTATAACCCAATAACACACGTTAATCAAAGTGTAGATTGAACTGGACCTATATCGTAGTGAAATGTATGAAACATGTGTTTGATAATCATATAGCGAAGGGATTTGTTTCTAGTCGAGACAGAAAAACAACTCTCCAAGGACGAATACTACATTAAATTCCAAACAGATGAGCTCGAAGAATAGCAAACCACCGATAGGAGATCATAAACAATTTAACAGATGCAGAAGACCCATCGTAGAAAAATCAAGAACATCTTATTTAAGATCCACAAGCCTTAAAACTTCTGGAGACTTACAGTTCCTACTTGTAACTGCCCAACAAAATTAATCTCTAGCGTGTTGGATGAACTCATGACACCCAATTACTTCTAATCCATTACTATTCGTATAATTCATTATACGAATGCCACAC